ACGTGTGTGCCTATATATGTACGTGTGTATGGGTGTGTGTATATATGTATGTATATATGTAAATATATATATATATATATGTATATATATATATATATATATATATATATATATAAGTGTGTGTGTGTGTGTGGTTGTATATATGTATATATGTATGCATATATATATGTATGTATGTGTGTATATGTATGTATGTGTGTATGTGTATATGTATAAATATATATATGTATATGTATGATAAAATCACGGCAGTAGAATGGTTGGCCAGCATGGTTCATGGGATTGGGTGCGACTGAGTGATGAATTAGTTCCTCACTGAGTGCCTCCTAATTTCGGCTTTACGCCACTATATATTTGTATATATATATGTCTGTGTGTATGTATGTGTATATATATATATATGTGTGTGCATATATATATATCTGTATGTCCTATTTTATTGTGTATGTATATCTATATTTAAGTATATTTCTGTTTGTATGATTGTGTTTATATATTTGTATGTTAGACTATATGTATATTGGTGTGTGTGTTGGTTTTTGAAGGTATATTTATGTATCTATATGTTAGTACGTTTATGTATGTATTTGGTTGAGTGTTGTTGTATTTTTATGTATGCATGTGTATATGGTTAGTTGTTGTTGTAGATAGATATTTTTATATATATGTTTATTTGTAGATATGTATGTATGTGTGTATATATATTTATGTATGTTTATGTGTATATATATATATGTGTGTGTGTTGGCACCTATTATGTATGAGTTTGTGTGTATGTGGGGGTATGGAAACTTTGGTATATCATGACTGTTTTTTTTATATATGTAAGTATGTGTGCATAAAAGTTTGTGTGTATATATGTGGGTGTATTTAGGTTTATATGTATATGTGCGTGCATGTACTTTGTTATCATAGATATGTATATGTGCGTATATATTTATGTTTATATATTTATTTGTATGCATTTCTGTATGTAAATATATATGTATATGTATGTATGAGTGTATATTTATGTGTGTTAATTTGTTTTTGCTCCCTGTGTATATATATATATATATATATATATATATATATATATATATATATATATATATATATATAGTTGTGTGTTTCTGTATACTGTTTTTTTCCCTAATATATAATGAAACTATTATCAACTTATATGATTAATATATATTTTTATTGATATTTATGGTTTTAGAATTTTCGTTTTAATATATTAAATAATATTATTTTTAACCATTTTTATCTTTGTATATTTGCTCCCTTAAGTTATAATTCAATAAGTGGTTAGCATTTATTTAAGTCTGAAATATTTATTGGTTGTGATTTCTCATTGTCTGTCATTGTCTGTGGATGTATGTATGTGTATCTATCGGTGTCTATGTGTATGTAGAGTGTATTCACTGTGTGTGTGTATTAGTGTTAGTTTCCACGTCTCTTTTTTTTCATAAAAGGGCTGTAGTGATGTTCATTTTTTCCCCCACCTCCTCCTTTTTTTTTTTTTTTTTTTTTTAGTGTGTATGTATGTGTGTGTGTGTGTGGGTGTTTGTGTATGTATGTGTGTGTGTGTGTGTGTGTATATCTAATTATGTCTGGGTGCTTATGTATTATAATCTGATTGTGTTTTTGTTGTCTTGACGCGTGAGTTTAAGACCACATCCACAAACTTTAAAATAAAAACGGAAATGAAAGGGAAAAGGAAAAAAAAAAAAAATATATATATATATACATGTATTATCAAATGACCGGATATATTGTCGAACATAATTTCAATGAAGAAATGAATTGAATAAACATATATATTTTTTCTTTTCTCAATAATTTTGTAGTTTTTAAACTTAATAGTGATTAAATTTGGATTTTAAAATTACCAGTTTTTAATTTTAATATTAAATTTTATCATATGATTTTATAATTATTAGTTAGTATAAATTATTTTTAATATTACACGTATTTAAAGATCTGAATAGCTATTATAGCAGGATTTCGTTGTCAACCTTTTGAATCTTTCTATACTTCGTTTTTGATTGGTTATTCTAGCTTTTGTAACAATGCCTCCCCTAGTGTAGGATCGTTAATTAATCTGAAACTTTTTAAAACCATTTATTTTCTTTTCAACATCATCACTTGAGAAGACACAGAATGTGTTGAAACAAAATGGCTATTTTGTAGTGATCTTATAACATACTTATGTTATAATTTTTTATAAAAAATAATTATATCTGCTCTACTTTGTATTGAGCACTCTTTTAAGAATAGTAATTGTTGGTTATTGAATTCATTCCGTATATACCAATTATATACTTTGATATATATATATATATATATATATATATATATATATATATATATATATATATATATAACTCTCCGGCACATTTTTATCTTCAACACCAACGAAACCAACTAGTGATTTGTACTTAGTCTGCCGTTATTGGTTGTTAAAAAAAAAGTCAGTACGCTCATCAAAACCATTGGTTACCATTGCTTAAAAACACCGCTAAGAGGCGATCGCAGCGCTAACCTGAATTTTTGTTTATAAAAATCACTGTCTAAAAAGTGAAGTAACATTGGTTATTGAGTTAAGAATTGTTAAGATTTTACATATAAATAAGTAGAAGTTAATTTTTTTTTATTGTACTAGATGTTTTTAAGCGCTCAATCATTTGTTAACAGGTTTTACCTTTGCTTTATTCATAATTTCTAAAGATTGGTCCTTTCCAAAATATTTTACCTAAACAATCAACATATGTCAAATATATTGATTTTGCTTTATCAATACATTATCTGACATTGCAAAAAAAAAAAAAAAAAAACTAAACAATACCGTACATACAATGGAATTTAATTACAAAACAGAAACAAACCTTTCCTCGATATAATGTTAAACCGTATTCCTAATGACCTAAATCTAAGTGTCTTTCGTAAATTCACGAATAAAAATGATTCCATAAACTTCTATGCACACCATTATCAGTCTGTGTCATACGTGATACACGCTTAAACGATCATGTATCTTCCGATACATGACTGACGAAGCAGATTTTTTCCCGCAGTAGGTTGCCATTTCTTTCTGCGCTAGACCAGTTGCTATAGAACCTGGTCTCACCTGCTACATACCCATAGCTGGGCGGAAAAGAAGAGGATTCACACCTTTCCCAAAGTTATTAGCACGTAAGTGAATATAATGGATTCGACTGGAATTTGAACTTGGCTCTCTGATTCCTGAAACCGAGCCACTATCCATTACTCCACCGTGCCTGCATAATATGAAAATTAAAATCCGTATCCCTCAATATTTACGGGATGAAAGGACATCTATTTAAAATAGTTTTAGACTTCTCCTCGAATATCCTAATTATTTCATATTTAATTCTCGGCGTAAAACGCATCGGAATAAGAAAAGTTAACAATATAAATAGACTTTATAAAACTTGATATATTATCTACCAAAACAATACGAATGAATTTAAGCGCAGTACTAGATTGGCAATTAGGTCTCACAGTATTAGTGTTGAAACATCGAGATTTAACCGTCAATTCTATTCTAAGAGTTTCTTTTCTCGTACTTCTAACCTGTCTCTTCCGGTTTCTTACTTCCCTGACGCTTACAATCTTCAAAAATTTAAATGTAACAACAATCGCCATCTTCTATCTTCCTGAATACTATTCTTTTATTTTCCTTTTTAAAGTCTTCTCATTCGCTTTCATTTCCAGTAAACCCCACCTTGTGTCTTAGTGGCATTATCGCTTTGTTTGGAGTGAAATGATTCAAATAAATAAATAGAATGACTACAGCTGAGAAGAATTTGTCTAAAATTCATATCAGATTCGTTACAATTACGTTAAAAACAGTAAGAATTATAATTTATACAAAACTAATTAATAACAACTTAAAAGCTGAAGGAGATATTTAACGAACTTCAAACGTTATTTTTAGTGGACCCCGTGTTTGAAATAGAAATCCTTTTCATAAAGGGAAGTGGTAATAAAAAAACCCTATCAGCAGAAACTCGTGTCACCTGTTACAAGTGTTTCCAAGACTATAAAGCTTCCTGGAGCCGAGCCACAAGCTTAAACATGCTCTGTTTACTAGCAGCGGTGGGAGACTTTATGCTCTTGACTAGTATGTCATTGCCATACAAACAAAATCGTACGAGTGAGTAATGTAGATAATACGTGGCGCCCGTATCCGGAACATTTGCCGTAAATATTTTTGCCGTAGGAAAACTTGCCTCAGGAATTTTCGCCGTAGGAAAATTTAAAACGGTTTATGTTTGCAAATAATTTATGTGAATTTCAAAAGACTTACTCAGAGTTTGTAAGGGTTATCTTTCTTTGATCAGACATTTTATATTGAGGTTGGTTGCGTATTCAAAATGAAATATGAAATTGCATGTCGTAGGTTCTGATGTCAAGTTGAATATTTTGCGCTCCACACTGACGAGAATGAATGATGTAGGATTTTGATTCTATAACTTCTCTTATTAAAATGTTTAAATCGAAGTAACAATAGTGTGAGCCAGATATATTTGATAACAAGGTACTTCGCATATTAAAAAATGCGACGAAGTTGTCTTACGACAAAGTTTTCTACGGTGAAAATTCTTGAGGCGAGTTTTCCTATTGCAAAAATGTTTACGGCGAATATTCCTAGAACCTGTGACGCCAGGATGTGAGGGACTTATGATGAATGACGTTTTTCTTTCTTAGAAATTTATTTTCAATATTAGGGTTGACCTTTCATGTCTTATAAATTTCTTTCCAACGTCTTGGAAATTTCTTTCCAGTATTAGGGTGCGTCTTTTATGTCGTAGTGTTCTGTAAGCCGGAAAATACGGTGAACCATATCTGGAGAGAGGGAGAATAGAGGGATTCGTATCTTTCCCATAGGTCTTTGGGCGTAAGTAAATATAACGAACCCGACTGGGATTCGAACATGGTTCTCCGATTTCAATTCTGAGCCGTTATCCACTAAGCCACCAGCACATCTAAGCTAACAGCACCCGGTATTCCCAAGCGGTGACCCATCTAGATATTGACCAAGATTGACGTTGCTTAACTTCGGAGATCGGACGAGAACCGTTGTTTCAACCTGATATAGCCGTATGTCTGTGTTCGTATGGTTTATATTAGAAGACTTGAAGGGTTTCTTCTACAAATAGGTTTCTTTACTCCTGACAGAAGCACTGGCTTGTCCGTGTCATTACAAATGACTAACAGGGTAATGGGAGAGTGATGAAGGCCCTCGTTATATATTTAACGCTTTGTATTGACTGTGTATTTTAGGAGACCTACTGTGTTTAGTTTTGGTTCTTTGTGTTTGTTATGCAAACAGTGTCACAACTTAAGTTCAAGGCGTTTTGCTGGACAACTCACGCCAAAGAAGTGAAGTGTTTTCCTGAAAGAAGGATTCTATAAAGATCCCCTACATGAATAAAATACACGTGCTTCTAAGAGACAAAACTGTATGAGAAAGAATGTGAAAAATCTGTCAAGATCATTAAACATTTCAAGAAAAAAAAAGTTTAATATTTTAATAAATCACAAAATATTTTACAATGTTGCTAGTGTGTGACTGAAGAAAAACGTTGGCACACGTGCTAAGTGGGCGTGTTTGAAAGTGACATTGTAAAGATGTTACCTTATAGATATGAATGTATGTATCTCATATGAAATCGTATGAAAGCAATCCAACGACACTTGTCACGCACTGAGTCCCAGAATGGAAAATTTTCATTCCTCTAGAGTTTACCGACCAGCTGGTGGTCTCAAGCGTCACATGAAAGTTCAGTGATGCCAACGCCGTGTCTGTTGTCTCACCTAACGCCAATGGTCATGAGTGCCAAATCTGCTACAAGATATGCAAGCTGGCAGGACGAAAAAGTCAACAACGTGTTCCCGGATGGTCAATCAATGGATGAGTGACAATCGTTTAACAAGACGCCGCAATCAACATGCATCAACATTTATGTATGGAAAGTGACTGTATGTCATACCACAGATTGACTTATTGTTATAGAGTAGTCTCACAGTGGAGGCTTGTATTCGTACTAAGTCGGTCCTAAAAATGTTCGACGTACAAAACGTTAGGAACTTGTTATAACAGTTAATGACGCAGCAATCTAGTTGTGGTGGTTGATACTTTAATGTCCGACATCGACTGACTGACCAACTCACTGAGCTCCCTGGCGACTGCTACTACTACTACTTATTATATGTGGGAGAGTCTATTAACAATAGAATACGTATGTTCTAGTATAACACTTATACATTGTGAGTGAAATTCCATCGACAGAACTGTTCAGAAGCCATCGATGGTTGTGATCCCCACATCCGATGGTTTGGCCTTGTTCAAAACTGTTGATCATGCCAGATAATCATGTCAGATGATCATGTCAGATGATGCGTTTTCTTCCAGAATCTGTAACTAAGGACCTTTTAGCATAAACCACAGGTTGGCTCTGTGGGAGAACAAACAGGCGTCTGCAACAGGAATTGACTAGTCGCCGTAGCAGATAGATGTGTTCGTAAACGAGTAGCCGGCTGTTATAATTATGTGTATAATTGTAAGTACATACTTTTATTCAAATGTGAGAAAGAAAGAAAGAAAGATTGATATAACATTGTCTTTACACATCACAGTTATTTCATGTTATTTCTAGTGTGGAGTTTTTTGTGATGCAGCGATCTTTGATCCAGTTGAATTTAAAAAACTGCTTCCACCCAAATTCTGTTTCAAGTGGATCAGAAACGAGACCTTCGAGAACAATTGCAATTGGTTGAAAAATATTGAATGACAAATTAGAATTTTATGCATAGTTCAATCGGAAATGATTCGTGAAGGCTACTTCGTACTGATTCACCCTTGATAGCATCCACATCAAGTATAAGTCTCGCTTTGATTCAACATAGGAGTTTTGCTTTGGTTTGGTTTGTTGTGTTTTACGGCATATTAACCTCAATGGGTTATTTAATGCCGGCAAGATTTTTATTGCTGGTAATATATATATTTTCCGCCAAAATATATAGCTGATAATACTTTTTCTTCAAAAATGTATAGCTGGTAATATTTTTCCCCAAAGTGTATAGCTGGCAATATTTTTTTCTTCAAAAATGTATAGCTGGTAATTTTTTTTTTTCAAAAATGTATAGCTAGTAATATTTTTCCTTCAAAATTGTATTTCTGGTAATATTTTCCCTCAAAAATGGATTGCTGGTAATATTTTTTCCTTAAAAATTGCATTTCTGGCAATACCTTTTTCCTTCAAAAATCTATTTCTGGTAATATTTTTTTACTTCAAAAATGTATTTCTGGTAATATTTTTTCCTTCAAAAATGTATTTCTGGTAATATTTTTTTCTTTCAAAAATGTATTTCTGGTAATATTTTTTTTTACTTCAAAAATCTATTTCTGGTAATATTTTTTTCCTTCAAAAATGTATTTCTGGTAATATTTTTTTCTTTCAAAAATGTTTTTCTGGTAATATTTTTTCCTTCAAAAATGTATTTCTGGTAATATTTTTTTCTTTCAAAAATGTATTTCTGGTAATATTTTTTTCTTTCAAAAATGTATTTCTGGTAATATTTTTTTACTTCAAAAATCTATTTCTGGTAATATTTTTTCCCTTCAAAAATGTATTTCTGGTAATATTTTTTCCTTCAAAATGTATTTCTGGTAATATTTTTTTCTTTCAAAAATGTATTTCTGGTAATATTTTTTTCTTTCAAAAATGTATTTCTGGTAATATTTTTTTCTTTCAAAAATGTATTTCTGGTAATATTTTTTTCTTTCAAAAATGTATTTCTGGTAATATTTTTTTACTTCAAAAATCTATTTCTGGTAATATTTTTTTACTTCAAAAATCTATTTCTGGTAATATTTTTTTCCTTCAAAAATGTTTTTCTGGTAATATTTTTTTCTTTCAAAAATGTATTTCTGGTAATATTTTTTTCCTTCAAAAATGTATTTCTGGTCATATTTTTTTCTTTCAAAAATGTATTTCTGGTAATATTTTTTTCTTTCAAAAATGTATTTCTGGTAATATTTTTTCCCTTCAAAAATGTATTTCTGGTAATATTTTTTTCCTTCAAAAATGTATGTCTGGTAATATTTTTTTCCTTCAAAAATGTATGTCTGGTAATATTTTTTTCCTTCAAAAATGTATTTCTGTTAGTAATGTATTGTTGGTAATCATTTTTTACAAAAATGTATTGCTGGTATTAAAACCTATTTTTACATTTTCATAGTGTTTTGACTGCAGTTTGGGGGTTAACTATTTGTCTATAGCTGGAACCCTAACAGCTGCTACCACCCTAGGTCAGAGTGGACCTAAGGAACTTCAGCAATTAAGAAGTGGTCCCACGCTCCTCAAAATCTCCTAATTAGAGCCCTCGCTGTCGGATGTAGTTTATCGTCTTACCCAGGACGAGTTTTCCTTTCGTGTTTCCACTAATCAGTGATCTGAATTATTTTTTATTAAGTTTAATTTATTTAAAATTTAATCCATCTTTCGAGTAAATATTTATAATGAATATTCAGTGCTCCTTATTGTTTTGATGTCGCTTGTTCTTAATAATTTTAATATTCATCTCATCCATTCTTTTTTGTTAAGATTTTCATGTTCAAAAATCATTTCGGAAGAAACTTTTTTATTTGATTATCCTATACAATTTACGGAGTTACTTTACACTGTAAGAAAATAACAAAATATTTCTTACCCACTTATAATACACCAACTACGAATTTATACGATAGATATACTGTCCGAATGACACAGGAAAAGAATATGTTATTAAATATGGAAGTTTTTCTTCATCCTCCTACTCTCCCGCTTTTGCACCATCTGATTATCATCTTTTGAGATCATTGCAACATTTTAGAGAGAAACGAGTTTATTATTTGAGAAAATAATAAAACTGATATCGAGTGTTTTTTTTTGCATCGAAGAATTTTACGCCCGTGGGATTAACGTTTTTCTAAATAGGATTATCTTATCGATAAGGGAAAGAAAAATTTTCTTGATCAAATATATTAATTATGGCCAAAAAAATCTTGTTTCTTATACATCTTCAAATGTAACATGACATTTTTCCAGCCTAATAAAAGAGTAGGTAAAAATTAAATGTAAATAAAATATTTTTTGTCAGTTTTTGTTCAGAGTAAAAGAAATCTGTGTAGATGTAGACTATAGGCAAAAATTTTGGGGACACCTTTTAGATTTCAAAGAATCGTCTCAGAACTGAAGGTTTTGTACCTTTTTCCAAGGTAATTTAATAGCTTACTTCGAGCCAGACGGACTTACTTTAGCTGAAGTGTTTTAACGTATATTTAATAATAATAATAATAATAATAATAATAATAATAATAACTGGTATAAACGCCACCCGGATCCGATTACAGACATGGAAGCTATAACAATTTTATTGGAGTTCCTAATACACATAAGGAGATCAACCAAAGCATACCGCCAAGACATCGTGATCAAAGACTACAAAAACAGAATGTACTTTCTTATTGACATGGCAGATCCTGCAGACTGCAATTCATTTTTGAAGATCTTCAAAAAACTATCAAAATCAAAAGAACTTGAAGTGGTGATCTAAAAATTATGGCACAAATTTTAATTTTAAAATTGTAATTGGAGCCCTCGGTTTGAATGGAAAAGGGATAACTTAAAGAAAATACCTTAACGAAATACAAAAGGTTGTATTAACAAGTACAGTTCACACATTACCTTTATTTATGTAAAATGTGTGTGTTATGCTTTTTATGTGCCGTGTCCTATCAGGACGTAGGCGATAGTGGCTCTCCAGAATCTCCTGTCCTTCGTAGTGTTTAACAAATTTTATCTTTTTCGTATTTCTCCTAAACCTTGTTCCACCATCTATTTACTCAAACTCCCTAAGTATGATCTGCGTTGTTTTCCTCCATCAACCTTGACTTCATTCTGTCCTGTGATTATAAGATTTTTCAAGTCCTCTTTTCCTATTATGCGTCCTAGAAATTTCAACTGTATCTTCCTGATGTTAAATTTCTTTTCTTCTTTCTATTTTCTTTAAAACTTCATCGTTGCTCACATATACATTCTGTGCTATCCTCAGCATCTTTCTGTAGAATCAAATTTCTGTTGCTTCACTTTTGAGGAGATTGCCCAGCATTCACTCCCATGATCTTAGGTTGTCTCTCTCTATTTTTTTTTTTTTTTGCAAAAATGCTGAGTGGAAAACGTAATGATGGCATTTCTGATCTTAGTTCTTTGGTTGGGACCCGGAATGAAATGTATATACAACAGAAATGAATAATAATAATAATAATAATAAAATGAACCCAATACTCCGTATGTAGTTTCCTTAAAAGTTTGGCGAACGGTAATTGTAGGTGGCGGATTTTAAATTTTAGGTAACCCTCTAAATTATCAGATACCATACACGAATGGGTTAAATAATTTAAGTGTCCGACCTTTGTAGGGTTTAACTGAACTAAAGAAGGCATGTCTTCTAATATCTAGGCAAGGTACTATATTATTTGGAGAATTATTTTGTAGTGATTTGAAGAACGGCTGTGTTTTACTGAGAGTTTATGCCTTTGATATATTAAAGGTTTATAGATTCCAATACCCGAATTCGAATGCTAGTTGTTGGAAATTCAAATTCTTAAAAAGTAAATTAGGCATCTGGTACAATTATGAGTTCTTTTCAATTAAAAACAACAAAAAATGGCTGTCAAAAGAGTAAAATAAACCGGGAATTTAATGTACGGAGATAGAGAGAGAGAGAGAGAGAGAGAGAGAGAGAGAGAGAGGGGAGAGAGAGAGGGGAAACACACACACACGTATATTTTTTGTGAAATTGGAGTAGATTTGAATAGCGAAATTAAATTAGAGCATTTTGTTTACTGATGGGGAAATCTGATCTAGTGCAGAAGTTGTACCCATTGAATCTGGGTCATCAGAAGACAATAGAAATGGTCGAAATAATTTTTATCGATTAAAAATTGGAATAGAGCTGAGTAAGCTAGAAGGAACTTTGGAATTCACATGATTTTGATTGAAGCAGCCAGAGCCCCGTGATAATCGCGTGCGAAGTAGTAGTAGGTCTAGAATCCAGTGTATGAGTTTATTTTACTTTTCTTTTCTGTAACCCGTTTCTCTTCTCTACTATTCTTTTCTGCTAAATAAAAGACATTAACAATTCAACCATTGAATCGATGTTTGTTCGGCTTTCTACAGATATTAATATTTTTTGTTGCTGCATTCTAAATTTCTTAGCGCAGACTCCCCAGCCGTGTCTACATCTTCAGTCGACCGTGAATGGACGGACATCATTTCTGCTTTCTGGATCAAACAAATCACAACGTGGGCAGGAAGCAGGATTAAACCAGCGGACCGGTCGAATAATCTACGGATGCCCAGGAGACCTATGGCCACTCCCTTAAGTTCGGTTAGGACCGAGTAGACACCTCAACCCAGAGAGTAAGACGCCGGACGTCGAGAGGCTGGGCAAAAGTGTTAGAGTACAGTCTAAATAGGTTAGCATATTATTTATTGCAAGCAATTACACAGGAGAAAAACTCATTGCACTTTCGTGTGTTCACTTTTTTCCACTGGCATGAAGTGAAAAGATTATATTGAATCAATTAGTAGGTCTGTTGCTATGAAAGTTAGTCACTCTGTCGAGCCAGAACATTTTTTTCTTGTCAGAATCCATCTTGCACGTTTATAAATTTACTATTGTTTAGTGGATTGAATATTGCTATCATATCTTGTCTGCTGCTCCTGCTCTATATCTTGGGATTCTCGACAAAAGGGTTTATAATGTCTTTGTTCATGAAATCTTGACTTCGGTCATTTTCTCACCGCCATAACATAGCTTCTCTTTGTCTTTTCTATAAATATTTTCATGGCGATTTTTCTAATGAGCTTCTCATCGTGGAGCCTCGATTGCATAAATTTAAACGTACTACGGGATTGACAATTAGGCCTCATCATTTTATTGTTGAAATAGAGTGATGTAATCGTCAGTTCTATCCTAAGAGTCTCTTTTCTCATACTTTTTGCCTGTGGAAATTCCTTCCGCTTTCTTGCTTCCCTGATAACTACAATCTTCAAAGATTTAAATGCAGCGTCAATCGACATCTTCTCTCTGCCTAAATCTTGTTCTTTATTGCCCTTTCTCCTCCCTAAAATCTTACTCATTCCCTTTTACTTTAAGTGCCCCCTTGCGTCTTAGTGGCATTATCATCTTTCATTTATTGCCCTTTCTCCTTACTAAAGTCTTACTCATTCTCTTTTACTCCACGTACTCCCTTGCGTCTTAGTGGCTTTATCATCTAGGGTGAAATGACTAAAAAAAGTATCTGGCTGAAAAGAAAGTTTTCATGTTTTATAGAACATTAATTAAATGCCCCGAGAACTTTCCTTCCAACCAAATATATAAAAATATTTTTCATTGATCCGTTATCTATTATCATTAATCTCATCTGGTATTTTTATTCTTACATGTGCCGTGTCCCTTCAGGATGTGGGAGATAACAACACACAATAATCATCGCTTTTAAAACAATAAACATTGCCGATGAGCAATGTGAGTAAAAATAATAGCAGTGTCAATGGAATAACTTTGTCCTTTGAGTGTCAAATTCTCCAAGTTCTGTTTCGATCTAGAAATTTCAACTGAGAATGGGAGAGAAAGAGATAGAAAACGCGAAATAATGAAAGAGAGAGAAAATGAATGAGAGAAAGAAAGCGAGAGAGAATGCGGTAGAAAGAATAAGTGAATGACAAAGAAAGGGTATGAGAGAGAGAGAGAGAGAGAGAGAGAGAGAGAGAGAGAGAATGTATGTGTGTGTATGCGAGAGAGAAAGTGACTGAGAGAATGAGAGAGAGAAAATGAATGAGAGAAAGTGAATAAGAGAGAAAGAGTGAGTGAATGACAGAATGAGAAAACAGTTGTGAGAGAGAATGAATGAGAAGGAAAAAGAAAGAGAATGTGATGGAAGAGAGAAAGTGAATGAGAGAGAAAAAGAAATAGAAGGCGTGAATGAATGAGAGAGAGAGAGAGAGAGAGAGAGAGAGAGACAGGGAGACAGAGAGAGAATGAATGAGACAAAGAAAGCGAAGAAGAATGAGATGGAAGGAAAGAGAAAGTGAATGACGGAAAGTTTATGAGAGAGGGAGCATGTATGAAAGAGAGATAAAGTGAATGACAGAACGAGAAAAAGATAGCGAGAGAACGAGAGAAAGAAAGAAAAAAAAAGAAAGAGAGAGAGAGAGAGAGAGAGAAATAGAAAAGGGGGTATTAATAGGAAGCGCGTGAAATAATTTTGACAAAATATAAAAAAAACTCCCTTTTCCTGCATATTCTCTATCCCTTCTAATCTTTGTATGCATATATATTTATTTTTTCCTTTCACCTGGTTTTCTATTTTTTTTTCTCTAGCTTTCTACTATCTTTTATTTCCTCCTTCACATTAGCTTTTTCCCTTTTCCTCATTATTTTTTCCATTTAATATTATGATGTAGGTTTCTCGGTCAGAAAACATATTCGATTTTTTTCTCAGAAGTACCTGAAATATGGCAGATGCTACACTTTGATCCTAAGTAGAAAAGTTTATATGACCGTTCAAACAAGCCCAGTGAGATATTTTTATAATATATTTATCCATTTTCACTATCTCATGCCTTTGGTGTTAAATGTTATAAAAATATGGATTAGTTTCTTATGCGAAAAAGAATAAGAAATGCCTGCCCATATCTCTGAGATGAGGTATTATGATTACTTGCATTATTTACATTATTCGGACTATTATTCTCATCTTCATTTCCATATTAACAATGTTCCTGTCGTTGCACGCTCCGGCCTTCTTCAGGTGACTGAATTTCGAACCGAAACGTTTATTTCGTCCTCGGGGTTAGATTGTTCTAGTTCCACGTGCCATACCTCTTTCGGATGTCTCAGTTATTTCCTTTTAACTCAACTTTCTATGTTTTGGTTCACCATTGTTGTGGCCTGAACTCATAACTCTTTGGGTCTAGTCATTGGATCCAACCAATATCTTTATCCACTGGGCCATGTGTCCTTGAGGACATCTGTGTATGAAGTTTTGGGACTTATAAGCCTAATGTCTCAGCAACCATTTTTTACCAGTGCTCATATTACAATTTTTGTAATTATTATTACATTTTTTTACCAGAGCTTATATTGCTATTTTTGTTGTTATTCATTGCTTTTCTCTAGCACTCCTTATTACTGGTTCCCATATTGTATTCATTTCAATGCTTGTTCGGCTCAGGAGATTTTTTGTGCTGATTCCTTAAATTTTCGTATTTTTCAGTGATACTCTCTGTCTGTTATTTTGACCTCATCCCACAGGGGGAATAAAAAATGCTCAAATATTTTCTCGTATATCATCATTTTTAACTTTCTTTTGTTCTATCTTTCCACATAGAATTTATATGCATCGCAATTTTTACGCCTTTTCATCCACACCTGTCTTTTAATTTATCGCTAATTGACGTTTGATATCCAGCCAACAAATGTCTACCTCTCTATGTCTTTCTATTGTCTCCATTCCTCCCACTCTCTTTATTGATATGTATTTAGTTTTCACTTTCATCCAGTTTTCTTATCGTTATTCTTCATCTTTAATGTACTCCATCACATCGTCCTTTTCCCCACATTTCCTTCGCTTTCCCCAATCCCTTTCCAATTAGTATTATCAGGTAGTTTTCTCGGTCATAAAACGTAATCGATTCCCTCTCAGAAAAGCCCGTAATAGGGCAGATACTACACTTTGATTCGTGTTAGAAAAGCCTAATGGTCGTAAGAACAAGCCCAATAATAGCCGCTTACGGCTATATTATGTTGAAACAACGGTTCATGTACGATCACCGAAGTTAAGCAACGTCGCGTTTGGCCAGTACCTAGATGGTGACCACCTGCGATTATGAGGTGTTGTTGAATGTGCATTGTGGCTTATGGCCATATCACGTTGAAACACCGGTTCCCGTACGGCCACTGAAGTTAAGCAATGTTGAGCTTAGTCAGTACCTAGTAGGGTGGCCGTTTGGAAATACCAAGTACTGTAACCTTGGATTTGCAGGTGATGTTATGGATAACGGCCTCGAACTGGAAATTGTAGAGCCGAATTTCATTTCAAGTCGGGTTCATTATATTCACTTGCGCGCAAATATCCTTTGGAAATGTATATATCCACCGCTTCTCCCTCAGCTATAGGTTAATTAGTAGGAATCATTATCTCTAAAAAATTCTTACAATCTAAATTCATTTTCTAGCTTTAAATAACATGCAAAAGGTTGAGGAGCCGTAAATTATCAATCAATAAAAAGCAATAATAGTATAAATGTTTTATATTAGATTTTCAAATAAGATTATGAAAGCTAAAGAGCGCACTGACTAAAATATTGTGATTAATATAGAAAAGATAAGGATATTAGTGAAAAAGTTTCACTTAGTGATTTAGTTTAAGTGGTAGAAGCAAATACAGAAATTGTGAGAAGTCAACTCTCCATAAGTGCCTTTTCGAAATGGTCACTTATGATTTATCTTTCTGGCATAAAAGAAAATATGTAAGGATTTTAAACAAATAGTCAGCGTTGAAAACGTAAAAGTAGTCGTACTTACATATCACGAATTACACGACCATGTTTATTGTTATTTCTAGCAGGAGAAAAAACAACAATTGGACATCAATTTCCAAACAACATTTTCCGGCAATCGAGACAAAGAATTAACAACCAATGCAAAAAAACAACAACAAATAAAAAAAACAAAAACAAAACAAATACACACAAAAATGATCAAAAATCAAACAAAAACACCCCCACAAAAACGACTCTAAAAAAGATAAACATGACTTTCAAATCTATTTTTGATTTCAGTTTTTCCCATTTGTTTCGAGGAGGACGTTTACTGAGCCTGTTTAACCTCCTCCTCGCCGCCATTCTGTCAAACAATTCTCAACAGCTCTCAAAACCCCAAACTCAAACATTTCACCAAACACAGGCGACACCCTTTTCTTTGTCAAACTAATTAGAAGTATAAGTAAAAGACACTTCGTGAAACAACTTATTTATTGTGTGTTATCGGGTGCCATTGCGAGTTAAAGGTCGGGTACATAGGACATTCTTGGCATTTCGAGGTTTTGTGTCTTTCTAATGAAAAAAAATAAAAATAAAAAGGTATAAAAAATGAAAACAAACAAAAAAGAAGAAAAAGGAAAAGAATTTGAACTAGATATTTTAAAAATAAACTTATTAAGTATGGAAAAAAATTAAGAAATGCACATGAAATATTATTGACATCCGTTGGTTTCGAGGGACCATGAATCTGCGCTAGAAGAACACAGGCCTGGCCACGTTTTTTTTAAGAGAGATCGGCAGCACGTCTTCCTTCCCCACGCCACCAACGTTGTCCAAGGGAAAGACAGAGGTCAATAGAGCTTGGTACTGGCGTCGTCGCAGGAATTGCTAGAACCGAACATGGCATCGGACTGCGGAATTGAATTCAGAATTGTCCTTCTCCTAGTATGGTTGGCAATCATGGCTACAGAGCTCATACTGCCCTAGTCTTTTTACCCATAGTTGGAAGTTTTGAATTCAGACCTTTTCCTACTTCTAGACCGGTTGCCACCCAAGGTTATAAACACAGTCTGTCCTGTTTATTTACCCATTTACCATAGGAGCAGAGATAGATGTATATCTTTCCCAAGAGTATTTGTACTTAAGTGAATGTGATGAAAGAGATTGAAATTCAAACTCGACTCTCCGATTCTTCAATCCGAGCCACAATCCATTATTTCAATATGCCTCTATATGAAACATAAAAGCCGCACAAAAATAGTCATAACAACAACAAAAACAACTAAATGATTTAATAAAAGTTAAGCATAATTAATTCCAAACTACCGCATTCAATTTTGGACAAAAACTTACTTTCAACTTCATTGGTATGGCGATAAACTACATCCGCGTCCTGGGTATGGCGATAAACTACATCCGCGTTCTGGGTAAGACGATAAACTACGTCCAACAGCAAGGCCTCTGCTCAGGAGGTTTTGAGGAGCGTGGAACCACGTCTTAATTGCTGGTGTTCCCAGGTCCGCCCTGACCTGAGGTGGTATCACTCATTAGGGTCCCAGCTATGGGCAAATAGTTAACACTCAGACTACATCCGCGTCCTGGGTATGACGATAAACTACATCCGCGTCCTGGGTAAGACGATAAACTACGGCCAACAGCAAGGCCTCTGATAATACGTTTTTGAAAAAATAATGTTGCCAGCTGTACGTTTTTGAAAAAAATAATATTACCAGCTATACGTTTTTTTTGAAAGAATAGTTTGGCCGGCTATACTCTTTTGAAAAAATAACATTACCAGCTATACGTTTTTGAAAAAAAATATTACCTGCTATATGTTTTTGAAAAAATAACATTACCAGCTATACGTTTTTGAAAAAATAATATTACTAGCTATATATTTTTGAGAAATAATATTAACAGAAATAGATTTTTGACAAAACAAAAATATTACCAGGAAAAAAAAGTTGTCATTAAATGACCCATTGAGTTTGATATGCCGTAAAACAAACTAAATCCAACCAAATCAACTAACTTGGCCAAACCAAACCAAATACCTTGGCCAAACCAACGATTATTATTAACTTTTAACGAGTATTTACACTCAGCTTTTATGAGACAAATCATTATTAAATTTTGACAGGTGGTTGTTTTAACCTTAATTTTCATTTGCTGAAAAATTGTGAACCTTTATTCGTAATGTTTGATTCGTATTTAGTTTCAACTTGATTTTCTATTAGATGAATCAATGTCAGCCATTATTATTAACTTTTGGCAAGTTGTTACTTTCATTTTTAGATATTATTAGATAGAGTATTTCCTCCTCAAAGATGAAGAAGAGACTTGAAACAACAGAAATGTGGTTCTACAGAAGAATGCTGAGGAAGCCATGGACAGAATATGTGAACAAATACCAAGTTTTAGAGAAAATGGGGACCAAAAGGAAACTTATGCTTAACATCAAGAAGACGCAGTTGAACTTCTTAGGGCACATAATGAGGAAAGAGAGCTTTGAAAATCTGATACTCACAGGACAGATTAAAGGCAAGAGGGACTAAAAGAAAACGATGTATAATATACTTGATGTGGTTGAGTAAATGGATTTCAGAACAAGGTTTAGGAGAAATAACAAAAAGACAGGATTTATTATGAGCTACGAAGGGCAGGAAATTGTGGAGAGACATGATCGCTTATGTCCTGAAGAAACACGCAACATAAGAATTGTCAGACATTATTATTATTTTGACTAGTATTTACTGTCATCATTTTTATTAAATAACGTATTTTCAGTGGTTATTAATTTTTATTCGTATTCATTTCCTTTCTCATTTTCATGAAAACAAGAATTATCGACCGTTTTTATTCATTTTTTTGTGTCTTTACTTTTAATTTCATCTTTATTATATGAAACGTTATTAACCATGGTTATTTGTTTTTATTTTAATATTCTGTTATATCAAGCATTTTCAACTGGTATTATTAATTTTTAACTGGTATTATTAATTTTTAATTTTACTTTTAGTTTCATTTTTATCAGATGAAATATTGTTGATCGTTTTTATTAATTTTTGAGTAGCATTTACTTTCATTTGAATTTTTTTATTGTCAGTCATTATTATTCATTTTTGATGAGTATTTATTTTCTTCTTCATTATATTATTATATGAAGCAGAGCCAACCAGTATTATTAAATTTTGACGAATATTTACTTCCAACTTGATAATAATTGTAACAATACTTTATTTCACAAAAATGAAGCATTGTTGGCAATTATTATCAATTTTCGACGAATATTTACTTCCTCTTAATTTTTATTAGATGAAGAATTGTCAATCATTATTGCTAATTTTTAACGAGTAATTATTTCCCTTTTAATTTGATTAGATGAAAAATGATTTACATTTCTCCTGTTAATTTCCCTCTGGAAGTTCTTCGCTGCCTTAGCCGGGTATTGAACTCACACTCTTTGGGTCTAGTTGCTGGCTCTAACTAACGCCTTTATCCACTGTGCTATGTGTCCTTCAGTTCGACATTCCAACCACCTGATGAAGGCCGGAGTGTACAACGGCCGAAACGTTGTAATAAATATGGCGACAAAGATGAATACAATAGTCCGAATAATGTAAATAGCGTACATAATACCTCATCTCAGAAATATAGACAGATGAAAAATTGTCAATCATTATTGTTAATTTTTAAAGAATAATTACTTCCATTTTAATTTTTATTAGATGAATCATGTCAATCATTATTATTAATGTTTGAATAGCAATTATCTTTGATTTTTTTTATCAAATATTACATTGTCAACCATCATTATAAGTTTTTATCCAGTATTTATCTACATCTGTACTTTTTTCAATTTCGATGATTTTGTGTTAGAGCTACCATAATGAACCCGATAGAAAAAATAAAGATGGAAATAAATCAAGATGGAATTGCCTATCCTTCTATTCAGCTTTTTTTCTCGTAAAGATCATAATACTGTTAATTGCAAACTGGTTAATCTTTCAACTTAACATTATAGCTTTTTATTACAACTCAGATAGTTTTAAATACTACGACTCTCAAATAAGCATATATCTTAATCAAAATAGTAATCTTTAATAAGATTTTAATTTGTATCTAGTATTCTTTTATAACCTGTCTTTTATGGACGCCTTTTCCTTCATATTCCATGACACCCCAGGACGTAGGCAATCATGGCTCTCCACAGTTTCCTGTCCTTCGTAGCTCTTAATAAATTTTATCTTTTTGTTATTTCTCCTAAACCTTGTTCCGCTAAACATTTATTCAAGCTTATTAAGCATGTTATGCAATGTTTTCCTCTGTTTCTCTTCAATCTTTCCTGTGAGTATCAGATTTTCCAAGCCCTCTCTCCTCATTATGTACCCTAGAAATTTCAACTGCTTTTTCCTGATATTAAGTATAAGTTTTTTTTTGTTTTCCATTTTCTTTAAAAGAGCCTTTAAAACTTTGTCGTTGCTCATGTTCGGTCTATGGTTTCCTCAGTATCCTTCTGTAGAACCACATTTGTTGCTTCAAGTCTCGTCATTTTACCGATTTAACCACATAGACTAACCAGTTAGTTTTTATACTGTTACATTTTTTTTTTACATTCGTTTATTTTTAACCGCAATTATTTGTTTATACTTTATAATCGACGTAATATTATTAAACTGTTAGAATTTCTTAGATTAATATCTTCTACTAGTAATAGATGATAAATAAATGATTTTATTTAATAAATACTTTCAGTGCATTCTAATTTATATTTATATCATTATTAAATACTTTTTTATCTTTAACTGCACGGATTTTACAAGTACCGGAATGAATTTAATTATACAGTAGAATCCCTCATATCTAGAATCCCGCATAACCGGACATTATTTTGATGTATATATTTGAGTGATATGTAACTGATTTGAAATTTTTGTTTTTCAGGAAATTTACTTTCGATAATTGCTTATGCTTATTTCACCCTAATAACTATGGAGTTATCGCAAAAAGTGGAAATTTTAAACAGACTAGACGCTGGTGAAAATTTGTTGTAACTAATGACTGAGTTGAACACAGGAAAGTCAACATTGTATGATATAAAATCTTCTAAAAACATATTCCCAAGCGTTCACATTATCACAATGAAGAAGGAAATAAAGAACATGATTGTGATGAAACCTGGACTGAAACTGGAAAAGCTATTGAAAAGGTTGTCAGTTTTATGGAAAGAAAGCCAGCATTCAGCTCTGACGATTGCAATAACGCACGTAAAATTAAAAATTGTCTTTCGTTTAAAAAATTTCAAGAACAAAACCAAAACGAAATGCGGGAAAAGTTGAGAATGACAGTAGAAGAGAAAGAATCATCATGCAACAGCGATTAATCCTCGTTACATTATTTGTTTTGCATACGTGGCAGACTTAATTTAATGAATTTTCATTAATATTTCATAATTTATTTCTTTTTCCTTAAAATCAATTCCGTTATATTTCACTCACCATTAGCTTATTTTGTTTACTATAAAACATTGAAAATAAATGTTAAACCTGATTTCAGTTCTTTTATTTTAATCTAAGTATAAACCCCTCATATCGGGCTTTTGTAACCAATTCCTCATATCAGGAAGGCCTTCTTAGTTTGATTGTCAGGGATTCTACTGTATAAATAAACATCAGCGACCAGCTTGTTAGATTTAGTGTCCCTCATATCCGGAATCCCTCATATCATTGTGCGTGCTAGTGTTGATTTCACACAATATTTGGTATCTATTTAATATAGTGTGAAATTGTAGGTAAAATGTGGAAGGGATATACAGCTTTGTGGTTTCATTGCATTGATTGGTTAAAAATCATAATTTGTCACGATGTTCTGACCTGTCATTCTCGGTGCTTTGGTCAAATGAGTTGCTCGATGACCAGTGATGTCTACTTGCGTCGCCAACAAGAAAAACAAGATGGCCGACACGTTCATATGATTCAGTCAGGCAAGAATGATTCTGCCGCAAGTTGATAGGAAGACGTTCCGTTCAGTAGAAGACACATAAGTATTTCAGTTCAACCCACGAGCACGGAGCAGACACACTTGGACTTATATGTATCTAGATGTAGAAAACATTTTAACAGTTTTCAAAAATTAGTCATATATCTATTTTTCACACACACACACACACACACACACACACACACACACACACACACACACACATATATATATATACAGACATAACGAAACATACTCTTTATCATACACACACACACACATATATACAGACATAACGAAACATACTCTCTCTCACACACACACACACACACACACACATATATATATATACAGACATAATGAAACATGCTGACACACATACAAGCACGCACATACACACACGCGACGCTTATATATATATATATATATATATATATGTATGTATGTGATTGAAGAGAAAAGTAAAAGTTCTCTTTGCCGATGCGTTTCGTCCTCTGATGGACTTTATCAAGGCAATTGTAAGGATTTTATTTCGCAACAAGTATTTATGAGGAGAATTAAAAATGTCGTTAGCTTTTCAAAATTTTTAAATTTAAGAACGCTCATGAATATACTTCAGGCTAATGGACGAAACGCGTTGGTAAAGAAAAGTTTTTCCTTTTCTCTTAATTTATATTGTCTTTTTACAGATATATTTTTAGTTATCTAAATGTTTTACGCGCACACACGCACATATAAATTTTACGCATACATGCACACACATATATATGTGCAAACAGACACACATATACACACATGCACACATACACACACATATCTATATGTATGAATGTATATATACAATGGCAATAAAGATGAGGATAGCAGTCGGAATAATGTGAATAATGTAAGTAATCATAATACCTCATCTCAGAGACATGGATGGGAAAATTATCCCATGTTAAATTTCCTTATCTGTAACACTAAATTTGTTATAGTTAATCCATACACCAAGATATTGGAAATGTTTTGAATTTATTTATTACACATTCTGAATTTTTTACGATAGAATTTTATTCTATGCCTTTACAACTCTTATTCCAATTCTAGATCATCGTTTCTGTTTTGGAAAGGCTTATCTTCCACTTCTTTCAATATTTGGTCAGAAATTTTGCATTTTTTATTCAAGGTCATTCTCATACCAACTATGTCTACCTATGTCATCAGCATAGTCCTCACTCCTCTCATCATCGGTACACTGACCTTTGGAAGAAAAACAGGAACGCTGTTTGCTATTAATAGATTCGTTTGGGATTTGGTACGGAATGTTAAAAAGAGTGATAAATAGGGTAGAGAAAGAGAAAAGAGAGATAGAAGTAATGAGAGATAGTAGGAGAAAAAGAAAGATGGATGAAAAGGGAATGCAGAAAAAAACTAGGAGCCAAACAGGGTGGAAAGAGAAGAGGAAAGGGACAGGAAGTATAAAAAAATGAAAGAGACAAGAAAAGAGTGAAAGAGAGAGAAAGAAAAGAAGAAGAAGAAGAAGAAGAAGAAGAAGAAGAAGAAGAAGAAGAAGGAGGAGGAGGAAGAGGAGAACGAAAAAAATGACGAGTTGATATTTTAAACAGATAAACACGGCATGGAAGTTGTTCTGTCAAAGCAGAAGTCGAATTCCCGGTCAACCGACTTCGGCGAATGTGTGAAAATAAAAAGAGATAGAAAAGACAGGTTTTATGAACAAATAACTGAAAGAGAAATCTGAAGAAAAAAAAAAATAAAACGAAGGAAACATAGTCTCACATGACATCTCATCTGGACCAAATTAGTAAACAATTAATTTGGTAGGAACACCGGGTCAACATGTTACTATTCAAATAGGCTCGAAATCTTACAGTAATGGCCGATCAAACTTCTTCAAATGTCTCCCAGGTCTTATATACGAAGTTAAGGTATCTGATAGGTTAATATTTACTCAGGCGATATGGAGATTTATAATCGCCCACGTTTTGAAGTGACATGGCACATAGCAGAAAAAAAAAGAAGAATTTCATTATGTTACTTAATCCTATGTCCATTCAGGGTATAGGTACCTGTTAATAGGTTGCATTTCTTTATTATCTGAGAATTGCCATACCTTATGGAGAATTGTTAGCTAAAGCTGAATAGCCCAGTCTACAGAACCGGTGCAATGTTCTACTACATATGATGCTACAACATCTCAATATTCATAAGGTAGAATTGTAACCTAATTATGTACAGTAATGGATCATAATCAATACAGATGAACAATTCAAACAGAAAAATTAAAAATAAATACAATGTATATAAATACAACTTAGAGACATGTCATTATAGATCAATGTAACTTAAATCAATCAACAATATTTTGCGACAATTGTTAACATCAACTAGAGACTTTTCTCGTTAAATGTTGAATAATTTTAATACATTCAACATTATAGTTAAAAAATAATGAATTTTACATAGCTTTTTTTCGAGCCTTAGCATAGGCAAAGCAAATTCACGGATTTGGACGGGAAAAAAAACCCAGAATGATGTCAAATTCAGCGAAAATTTTTCATCCCTTAATAGTCAATTGAGCTTAGTTTAATTTGTAATGTATATAAATGTAGTTAGAAAAAAGTACATGTTGATAAGTTATGGCCAAAAAGCACTGCTTGGTGCCCTCAATCATGCTAGCCTTACTCCCCGGTCGGTGGTTCGAGGGTAGTACTTGCCAGTCTATCCTGCTAGTTAACCTATACGTGGTAGGTAGGGGCGAAGAGATGAATTTATACCTTTCCCAAAAAAGGTTTTATGGAGAAGTAAACGCAACAGACTAGGCTAGAACTAGAATCCCCAATCGTCTTTCTGCACAGTTACGCCTCCCGCACATCCACAACTTCAAATACTGGAATATTAAATATAAAGACCATGGATCACCTGGGTAGTTTTGATCGGCCGATGGAAGGAGCGCAGAGTCTGTTATGGCTATACAAAACCACAAAAGAGTAACTGTATTTGAAGATGTTCTACAGTGTTGCCTAGCTGATAATCCGTCATTTGCGCGCGCTTTCTTCATCAGCAATATGTAGTCTTCTTTCTCCTCGCTCCAGTTTTCTACGTAGTTCTCGCCATTGCTATCATTCTCGACGTCTTCCCATCTTTCGACTTCCATGTCAACTACCTCTTTTTCAAATAATTTGATATGAAGATGGGGTCGTCTTAGCGTTCTCTTGCCCGTGACCAATTCCACATGCAGTAGATTATTACCCTTTTAATTTTTACAAATGATTGCTAAGAAACTTTACAGACTCTTATTTATGTTTTCGGGTTATATCTTCGTTACAATCCTTGGAAATCATATAAATGATATCATTAGTCATAAGAATATATATATATATATATATATATATATATATATATATATATATATATATATATATATATTATGCAAACCATTTTTAGACATCTCATCAGGTGGGTATTTTTTGTTTCAACGTCAAAAAAGGGAAAACCTTTTTCTAAACGTCTCATCAGGTGGAGAATCAAGTTGAACACTGTAATTTCCCACCTAATAAGACGTCTAAAAAAGGTTTTCCCTTTTTTTGACGTTGAAACAAAAATGTACAATTTCGTAGTGGATATGTGCATGTTGTATTGTAACACTGCATAAGATAAATAAATATTTACGACTCTACTCTATGTATTGAGCACTGTTTTTAAATTAAGTTTTTGAACGCTGTAATTCTGCTGTTCCTTCTCCTACACTTTGATATATATATATATATATATATATATATATATATATATGTGTGTGTGTGTGTGTGTGTGTAAACTATTTGTTGTGAATAGTTTTAATAAAAATTAATGTGGTAAATTCTTCAAATATAAAAATGTTTGAAGTAGGGCACCTCGAGGTGATGTAATAATTAGTAAGCTTATCTCACTAGAAAAATTAATACTGAGTAGTGAGTTCGATCCTCATTGGGTGTCCTCTACTTCAGGCCTTGTGCCACATCTAAGCTACACTTGGAAAATCACTATATCAATGCTTAAAGTCCACGCCCTGAAATTTGTATTAATATATACTGGCTAATATTATTTTTATTTTTAAATATTGACTTACGTGATAAAATCTGACATAGATAGATAGATAGATAGATAGATAGATAGCAGTAGTCACAGAGAGTCCGTTGTTAGATAATGAACTTTACCTACCTAGCGTGAATGTACTAATCGCTTTCATGATTTACCATAACACTCCTCTATCTCTTCTTCCTTACGCTTGTTATCCAATGAGCACCAATCAAATTCTTACTCCATTTATTATACTACCTTATTGTTGACTCCCTCCTACCGCCATTTGCAATAAATCTTATCTTGCCCTGCTCTTTGATTTATGTTGGCCTCTATCTTATAGGATTAATCCTTATGCATTTCTCTGTTTCCTATTAATCGATTCTTGCTGGATATACTCCAACCAATCGTTATACACCGTTTAACTTCAATTTTCGGAGGCCAACCGTAGAACACATATATACATACACACAAAGGGCCTCCTCTCTCTTTCTCTCTTTCTCACACGCACACATAAACCGAAAGAGGGCATTCTTACCACTCACAAACACACACAGACACAATGATCTAAGAAAATTTAATTGTTTGGTTTATTTTGTTATACGGCATAGCAACCTCAATGGGTTATTTAATGCCGACAACATTTAATTATTGCTGGTAATATTTTGTTTTGTCAAAAATCTGTTTTTGGTAATATTTTTCCTTCAAAATTGTATTGCTGGTAATAATTTTTTTTCAAAAAAGTATTACTGGTAATAGTTAACTATTTGCCCATAGCTGGGACCCTAACAGATGCTACCACCCCGGGTCAGGGTGGGCCTGGGAACACCAGCAATTAAGAGGTGGTTCCACGCTCCTCAAAACCTCCTGATCAGAGGTCTTGCTGCTGGATGTAGTTTATCGTCTTACCTAGAATGCGGATGTAGTTTATCGTCTTACCCAGGATGCGGATGTAGTTTATTGTCATACCCAGGACGCGGACGTAGTTTATTGTCATACCCAGGACGCGGATGTAATTTATTGTCATACCCAGGACGCAAGAAAATTTAAAAGCGTATAATAAAGAAAATTGGATATTTAATTAAACTGGTTTTACGAAAGTAAACAGAGAAATTATAGAGAATATTAAGAATAATGACGTAGTTATGTGACATGTATGATACACGCTTAGGCGATCATGTATCTTTAGATACATGACTGACGAGGCAGATTTTTCCAGCAGTAGGTTGCCATTTTTTTTCTGTGTTAAACCAGTTGCCATCCAAGTCTATAAAACCCGGTCTGTCCTGTTATTTATCAATAGCTGGTGGGAGAAGAAGACGATTCATGTCTTTCCCAAGGGTATTAGCACGTGAGTGAATGGATTCGACTGGAATTCGAACTCGGCTTTCCGATTCCTCAATCCGAGCCGCTATCCATAACGCCACTTTAACCAACGCGGAAGATGCATTTTGGGTGAAGATCTACACGGAAAATAATTTTACAAGAACAATTTCTCGTGATGTGATGTATGTAAAGCTACATTGGTTGGGCATTTTGGTCCGTTTTCATTGAAATATTCAACCAATATGACTTAGAAGACAACAAGAGGAGATGGACAACGAGGAAACTTTAAGGAAATCGGATACAAAAATGGATGCTTATTTGCTCTGGAAAGAAATCCCCGGCTTCTCTTTGTAGTTCAGGCAAAACAGGAAGTCTAAAGTCACCGCCTATAAGTCCTTTCTCAACTTACACATTGATAGGCGCCACGAATTATCAAGAATGGTAGGAAAGATATTTATATATCACTGGTTAGCGACCACTCGCTCCAAGCTTGGGCAGCAGCCATCCATTTATATGTTGTCGAGCAGATTGACAGCTATCAATCTGCAGATGTGGGGTGACATATAAGATCAGCCTGGCTGATCACAAACAGACCAAGAGAAGAAGAAAATACAAAGAGCGGAAGAACACCACTACTTTATGGTATGGGTAGGTATTTACATGCAACATCTGTGGACATGTCTGCGTCTGACTCTCGATCATGGAAATTCAATGATCTTCGGAGAATTCAATGTCGACGACGAGTAATCAATAATCAGTTGATGGTTCAAATACTCTCCGTTTATATTTTCCCATCCTTTCCAGTTCATTTTCTGGGGATAATTTCGAAGCAGAGTGTATATGTGTGTTTTTGGATGCCGCCACATACCATATGCACATCTATATAGAAAATATCTACCTTTAGTCTGGAACATTAGACTCGCGAAATGGTAATCCTAATGGTAATATTAACAGGAAACATACATTATAAGGAAACATTCGACATTCATTTTCGGTTGAAATTTATAAAATCTTTCTCTTCGGAGAAACGTTACTTAATTCCAATGACTGTTATTGTTCTTTCTAGGAAAATATTTATATTGTTCAAACTCATCTTTATTTTCATATTCACGACATTTCGGCCGTTGTACATTCCGGCCTTCTTCAGGTGATATACGTTGGAATTTTGAACCGAGCCTATTATTTCGTCCACCGGAGTAGATTCTTCTCAGTTTCAGTTATTTCCTTTTAGTAATATTTTTCCGAAGTTATTGAACTTACAACACTTTGGGTCAAATCACTGGATTGCTTCAACCAACGTTTTTATCCAGTTGGCCACGTGTCTCTGAGGACATCAGTGCATGAATTATTTGGGCTTATAAACCTAATGTCTCAGTTATCATTTTTTAGCAGAGTTCATATTACAGTTTATTGTTATTGTTGTTTATCAAGCGCTCTGTATAACTGGTTCCTATATTGTATTCATGTCTATGCTTGGCCGTTTTGGGAAATTTTGTGACCTAGCATATGCGCTGATTTCTAAAGGTTTTGAATTTTTCAGTGATGTTCTCTATTATTTCAACATCATACCACATAGGGCGGAGTTCTTCCATCCATATAGCATTGCTTGGCGAGTTTCCTTCCTAACCTTTTGTTTGAAGTAGTGTGGAATGTCAACATCTTGATTATATCATTATTGTCTCTCCGAATTACAGGGGCTATCCAATTTAGTTGCTGCTGAGGTTGATAGATCTCAAGTGATGTAGTATCTGTTATTCTGTCAGTCCACAATATTCGAAAAAATAGTCTTCACGCTTCATTCAGTCAAAGCCATTTTCAATAATTGATCTGAGAAAATGGTTGTATAGAACCGAGAGTTCATATATGTCTGAAGAGGTTTGGCGCCACGTATGCCATCCACAGGAAAGTCTCAATCTGACGAGGCTATTTGGCAACACGTATGACATCCACAGGAAAATTTCGATGTGACGAGGCTATTTGGCGCCACGCATGCCATCCACATGAAAGTCTGGATCTGACGAGGCTATTTGGCACCACGTATGCCATCCACAGGAAAGTCTTTTTCTGACCAGGATATTTGGCGCCATGCATGCCATCCTCATGAAAGTCTCGACCTGCCAAAGCTATTTAAGAACATAGTAAGATTGTGTTATATTATCTTTTCAAATACTGTGCTCCTATTTACATGCTGTGATAATCATCATTAGAAAGCTTGTGCACTTACCTGGGCTGAAACACCAACCTATGACATTAATAGGGAAATAGTAATGACAATCTAAATGTTGATACATGTAAATAATACCATGAAATGCTATATATCTAGCGATCCTTTATAAAATCCAAAGAAGAATCAACAATATTATTGGTCATGATCTTGCGTCTCGCTTTCAGTCACTTTCACACCGCCGTAAAGTTGCCCCCCCCCTGTGCTTTTTCTATAAATACTTTCATGGTAATTGTTCGGATAAGCTCTTCATTCTGCTGTTTATTTAATTTCAGCTTAATTTCGATTTACTTGTTATCAGGCCATCAATCTACAGAAATAAGTAAGCAGCGCTGATCATATACAAAGGATAATCTCTCGGTGAGATTCGAACTCGTCACTCTTTCACCTCAAGGACACCTGGTTTTACCAGCTGACTTAATCACCAACTATAACATTTTTGATTTAAATATTTAGACAGGCGTCTAGAACAGTGGTTAACAAGCTGATCCCACCAAACATTTACTAATTTTATGAGTTCCATCCTCACCGAGACCTCTACTTCTTTGACCCTTTACTAGACTAGACTCAGGATTTTCCCTAGAGTGTTGTATAACAAATGTGTCTGGAAGTTCAGTTTGCTAGTGTTAAGTGTTTGATTCTCATTAGGTGTCCCACACTAGTCTAAGCTTTAGTACATACATTATATATATATATATATATATATATATATATATATATATATATATATATATATATATATATATATATATATATATATATATATATATAAAAGAAATATGTTGTAGTGGTTCCAACGAGAGAAAAGTATGTATATTAAAAAGAAGAGAAGAGAGGTGCCGCAAACGTTTTTGGTTGTAATGTGGATTTATTTAGAAAAAATATTATGCTTTGTTTTACATAATTTTACTACGACACGTGTTTCTGGTCTCGCGACCGTCTTCAGGTAAAAGTGGAGATTTCTACATATTATTAAAAATGATATTATTAAAAATAATTAATTTTCCTTCATGTTCAATGTGAGATATTCTCGATATGAGACATTCTCTGTTTGTGTGTTGGTAAACCGAATTTCTTTCTAGAATTCTAGAGGAAAAGCATTGAAGAAAGTCGTAACAACAGAAAAAAAGCTGTGGAGAGCCATTAATAAGGAGCATGCGCCCGTGTGTGTGAGTATGCGTATGTGTCTGTGAGTATGTGTGTGTGTGTGTGTGTGTGCGAGAGAGAGAGAGAGAGAGAGAGAGAGAGAGAGAGGGGGATGGAGAGAGATTTCAGCTCTCTGAGGTTGGGCTTGGTTGAAGTTTGTGACGTCTGGGTAAATATTAGCCTCTCTTATACCTCGTATAGAAGATCCGGGAAATATTTTTTTAGACATTTTTGTTGCCATTGTAGGCAAACAAAATATGGTGTTAGAGATTTTGCATAAAAGAAATAAAAGCAAAAATAAAAACAATAACAACAAAAAACTTGCATGGAAAACGGAAATAAAGAAGTGGAAGAAGTTAAAGAAAGGAAAAAATAAATGGCAAGAAGTAAAAAAAAAATATCGAGTTGTCGATCACAATTGATTTTTGTAGCCTTTTATTTGGTTTGAAAATTTTCACTAAGGTGGTGTCTTTTTTGTACGTAAATGATTTGAATTGGTGACAAAGAAAAAGTTGAGTTGAACGCGATATTCAGTTCTTTTTTTCTTGGC